CCCTCAGGACCACCCTGTCCTGCCCCATCTGCGCACCAAGCACAGACTCCACAGCTCCACTCGTGCACGGGCAGGAGGCAGCTCCAAGGGAAGCGCTCGGTCAGGGGAGCACGCTGGCAGCTCTGAGCTGCCTGCCCCACACTGCCCGGGCATTTGTTTTCTGGAAGCACTCGGGGCAACAAATAGCCACAAATATGGCACCGTAGGAACAAAGAGCAAGGGACCTCAGAGAGCAAAATGGTTCTGCCCTGCCCTCAGCTCTGGCACAGGCAGTCCCACAACAGGCGCTGCGCCCAAACCTTTTCTCCTCGGGCCAACCCACCCTCGTAACCAAGAGCTGCTGAAGCCAAGCAGAAAGCTCGAGCGCCGAGTCTACCCCGGCTGCCTGGCACAGATAACTCTGAAATGACCTGGAGATGGGGACGCTGAGCAGGGTCTGGCATCATCCCCGAAGAGCTTGGAAGAATGTGGGAGGAGAGCAGAGCCATCCTCAAGCTGCTACACACACCGGGTCTCCCCGGGATGTGGCAGCACCTTTGGCTGCAGAGGGAAGGGGGAGGGCCCCTTGCAGCAGCAAACGTGGCCGTGGTTCACAGGGCTGGGCCACTGCCGCCAGCCACACGCCTCTGCTCAGCTCCAGTCCCCACCAACACCACAACAGGGTGGCTACAGATGCTTCCCAGCGCCGAGAAAGCTAACCTGGGCTGGGCAAACACGGGAAAGCATTTTTAACTGAATTTCTTTCGCCTTTAAGGTGAGGACTCCAGGAGGAACGGGAGACAAGAAGCAGTGACTGCTTCATGCAAGACTAGGCGAGGCTACATCACCTCCTTCCATAACAGGGAAACTGCTGGGCAGGGTGACAGCCAGCTCCAAAAGGGGCCCTGGGGGGGATGAGAAAGGATCCTTGTCCTCCCAAAAAGACGTAAGGGGCAGAGCCAGGGTCACACATCTGCTGTCACTCCTCTGGGAGATGCCTGCTGCTCTTATGCCTCACTGAGGGCTCAGCTCCCTCGTGTGCTTTGCAGACAGTTATCCCTAACGGCCGGCAGGATCCAAGTGGGGCTGGAGCTCTGCCCGATTCCAGCTGCCAGACTGATGGCAGCCCGAGGCCACCGCAGGGTTTCAGAGGAATGCAGGCAAAGCACAGGTCGTTCCCATACACCTGCTCTAATCCCCAAGACCTTCTCCCTCTCTGCCACCAGGAAATGTGCAGCCAGGCAGGATGTCCAGCCCTCAGGCGCGCAGGGGCACAGAGGTTCTGGCAACGCGAATGTCGGCGCTGCGGGAGTCGCTGCAGGGGGGAGGTGGTGAAACGCCGCCCTGGCCAGACACCAGGTGTACCTCCAAGGAGTACCCGATGGGCTGGGCTCTCAAACAAAACCTTCCACAATCCCTCCCCGAGCCAGGAAAGCCTGGCTTCGCTGCTGAGGGGAGGTGCCCCCTTGCCCTCTGCTCTGCCAGAGCACCCGCGTGGCTGTAGCACAAACCAGATCAAGATGCTGGCCAGAGTGAAAGTGCTTTCTGCCCAGCTTGTCTTACCCTAGGGCAGGTCCCCAAGCCAGTTCACTCTGGAGCTGCACAAATGCTTTCACTGGTTCAAATGGAGAACTCGGGAACAGGATTGAGAGGCTGAGGAGAAAGGCCACCCCTTTCCATGGCAGGGCCAGCCCAGGCCAGTGTAAACAATCTGGGAGTGACAGAAGGTGCACAACAAGACACAACATGCCCCTTGTGTTTGGGGCACATTCAGCACTTGGCAGGAATAGGTCCCCTGGTTCTTGCCTGCTGCATGGCCCCTCTCGGCACCCAATGCCTTTTACTGGGATTGCTGTGGAGGAGCCTCAGCCTCATCCTTCCATGGACTCTTGACTCCTCCATGTTCTGAACAGAGCACACAGAAACGCTCCCCTCCCTGTGTGCACGAGTACTTTTAGTACCTTCTGCTTCTTGTCCCCTTGAGGAATGGGAAATCTCAAGACTCATTTCTTACTTGAGTTTCTCAGCATGCCTGATGCACAGGCTGATTCAGGACAAGCACAGAGCCACCTGGGGCAGGCACCCAGCCCAGCACTGCCACATCTAACATTTCCAGACCGTGTGACAACCGCTGTGCCCCCCAAAG